ATACCGCCAAAAAAATTGTTAAAAAGTTCTGAACAAAAAATGTATGGCGCAGTATTTGATTGGTCCAGCGGATGCTGAGCTACACAAGAAAAAAAAATTTGGAAAAAATTTAGAAAAATTAAATTTGCGAGATAATCGTTCCGGAATACCGCCAAAAAAATTGTTAAAAAGTTCTGAACAAAAAATGTATGGCGCAGTATTTGATTGGTCCAGCGGATGCTGAGCTACACAAGAAAAAAAAATTGGGAAAAAATTTAGAAAAATTAAATTTGCGAGATAATCGTTCCGGAATACCGCCAAAAAAATAGTCAAAAAGGTCCGAACAAAAAATGTATGGCGCACTTTTTGATTGGTCCAGCGGATGCTGAGCTACACTAGAAAACAAATTTGGAAAAAATTTAGAAAAATTAAATTTGCGAGATAATCGTTCCGGAATACTGCCAGTAAAATAGGGAAAAAGTTTTGAACAAAAAATGTATGGCGCACTTTTTGATTGGTCCAGCGGATTCTGAGCTATACTAAAAAATAAATTCGGAAAATTTTCGAAAAATTAAATTTGCGTTATAATCGATCGGGAATACCACCAAAAAAATAGTCAAAATGTTCTGAACAAAAAATGTATGGCGCACTTTTTGATTGGTCCAGCGGATGCAGAGCAACACTCAGATAAATTTCGGAAAAATTTTTGAAAAATTAAATTTGCGAGATAATTGTTCGGGAATACCACCAAAGTGATTAGAAGAAAGTTCTGAACAAAAAATGTATAGCGTACTTTTTGATTGGTCCAGCGGATACTGGGCTACACTCAAAAATAATTTGGAAAAAATTTCGAAAAATTAAATTTGAGAGATAATCGATCCGGAATACCATAAGAGTCATTAGAAGAAAGTTCTGAACAAAAAATGTATGGCGCACTTTTTGTTTGCTACAGCGGATGCTGAGGTACACTCAAATCAATTTCGGAAAAAATTTTGAAAAATTAAATTTGAGAGATAATCGATCCGGAATACCATAAGAGTCATTAGAAGAAAGTTCTGAACAAAAAATGTATAGGGCACTTTTTGATTGGTCCAGCGGAGGCTAAGCTACACTAAAAAACATTTTGGAAAAATTTTCGAAAAATTAAATTTTTGAGATAATCGCTTCGGAATATGCCTAAAGTAGTTAGAAGAAAGTTCTGAATAAAAAATGTATGGGGTATTTTTTGATTGGTCCAGCTGATGCTGAGCTTTAGTAAAAAACAAATTTGGAAAAAATTACAAAAAATTAAATTTGCGAGATTATCGGTCAGGAATACCACCAGTAAAATAGTGAAAAAGTTTCAAACAAAAAATGTATGGTACACTTTTTGATTGGTCTAGCGGATGCTGAGCTACAGTAAAAAATAAATTTGGAAAAAATTAATTTTTGGAGATTATCGGTCAGGAATACCGCCAATAAAATAGGGAACAAGTTTTGAACAAAAAATGTATGGGGTACTTTTTGATTGGTCCAGGGGATACTCAGGTAGGTTGACAATGAAATTTGTTATTTTATTAAATTGCAAATCATTCGCTCCGAAATACCACGAATTTCTGAACCCGGGAGTGTCGAAAAAACAAATGTATGGCACACTTTTTGATTGGTCCAGCTGATGCTGAGCTAGAATTAATTCTTCTTAAATAAATGTAGAATACTAAACTGTTTAATTAGCTAGAGATGGAAAATTGAATTTTGAAAAATTTTCTGTTCAACTGATAATAGAATGAGAATGACATACAACTGAGAGTATTCTCGATTGTTTCTTTTTAGTTTCGTGTATATATAAACAAAAGAAACAGAAAATTAAATATGCAAAACAAAACCCTATCCTTTGCAAAAACCGTGATGCGAAATATCTCTTGCGAATAATAACTGAATGGGAGAAACATTGGACTCGCTATTATTTAAATTTACGCTCGGGTGCAGTGACTCTCTCTCTCTCTCTCTCTCTGCAAGTTTTCTGAGAGTCATTACATATTTTGAGGAAAGGACGCAGAAAAGAAATTTACATCTTTGTGAAAAACTGTTATTATCCAGAAATTGGAATATACTTGGTTGATTTTTATGCAAATATTTACGTATATAAAACTTCCCTCATTTCCTATGAGAATCATCTCTCTCTCTCTTTCATACAATTCCATAAATGAAAAAAAACATTTTTCACTCATATACAAAAATTTTTTTTTACACAGCAACTGTGGAAACAATTTTTTTGCGAATAGTTTTAAAACAAAAGAATTTGTAGTTTATTTTTTTTTTGTTTTAAACGAGGAAAAAGGCAGTATGAGAAAGTTTTCGCTCTTGTAGAAAATTTGAATAGAGCCTGGGTAACGATATGGAGGAACAAGAACTCATATGACAAGATGCAGAGTATGTTCCCATGCGCAAAAGGGTGGGTTAGGATCACTCTTTCACCCGTTAAATTGCAAAATATCCCACGGGAAATTCTTCTCGCCGCCGGAAGTTCGTATACACTTCCTTGAAACTAGTGTTCCGCGAACAACGAAGATAAATGACTCGGGCATCGACTTACGATGCGTTCGCATCTTTTTATCAAAAGAATAAATCAAACTGTTTTTACGTCATCATTTTCACTGGACGATCGCTAATTTTCTGCTTTATTTACCATTCGCATTTATAATTTTCACTTTTCAACTATAAATCTTCATTTATATTTAACTATTATATTTATTATTATTATTTTTTTTAAATAAAAAAATATATTCTGAATCTCTAAAATTTTGTTTCTAAGGAAATGGACCACACATGTGATAGTTATTGTTCGGCAAAAAATTCAAATGTATCTTTTCATCCCACGCGAACAATACGAATAATTTTTACCTGACAGATAAATGTGTTTCTGAATCAAAAAGATATCCTCTTTCTTTTTTTTTAGAAAATTAGCTGATTGTTCGAGGGAGAGAGAGATTGAAAATTTATATAAAGCTTTTATATATTAGTACACTCCAGATATATATGTAGAGTATATAACTGGTCATAAATATAATAGACGAGAATGATGAATAGCATTCGTTCGCAATAGTTTTGTCCTAAAGTTGCTGGCGTTGCGGTAACAGACGAATGGAGCCAGTGTGTGAAGTGGCCGAATATTCTTGCCTGGCTCAATGTTCCTCGCCCTGTAGCTTGTAATTGAATCGGTTGCATCAGAAAAGCACGTTTCTGGCAGTTTGCGGATGCTCCCCAGGGAACCGGAGAGAAAACCAGAGAGAGAGAGAAAGAGAGAGGCAAAGAAGCGAAGGAATGACCAGAAAAGAGATAAAGGGTGTGAGAATTAAAGGATGAGTGGATATCGAGAGCCAGCTCTGCTTTCTGGGTAATCTTCTCTTCAGACTACCACCGAGCCGCCCCCACGCTTTTCCAGCTTTAGTAGTTCTCATTGCAAAATGTTAAAGTCACTATACAACTCCCTCTTTCTCTCGTAACAGATTAAAGCTCCACAAATCAAATTATTTATTAATCGACTGCTTCTCACTAAATCCTCTCTTGTAACTTCTATATATATATATATATATATACTTCTCTCTATTTTCAAATAAGATTATTTATTTATTCGCAAAAAAATTATCCTCCATCCCCATCAATGATTCTGTTGCTGAATTTTCCAGTGAATTGATTTATTCATATAAATTTTTTCTAATCCGTATTTAGTGAATTACAATTTTTTTTTTTGATAATAAGGAAACGTCAATATTTCCTTATACCTAGGGTTATATTTAGATTCACTTATATTTCCCATTCTAACCTGATTTTCTATATCTATACCTCTTCTTTTGATTATCTCACCTATTTTTCTCCTTTCAATCCTATATTTTTCAATCTCCATCGTGCTATACCCCAAACTATTATAAAATTTTTCCCTTTCTTCTGAATATTTTTCCCAATTTCCTTTTTTCTAACCAGCATAATTTAATAAGCCGTTCATCATCCTGATTCGCCACATGTTCCTCATATTTTATTGCTCTTAGAGCCCAACCAATATTTATTTTTCTCATATTTGTTTCTTTATATATTACATATCTTGAAGTATTAATGTCCAATCTTAAAATCCATCTGATGTAGTCGATAAGTATCTTTTCCAATTCTTTCTTTTCTTCCCAACCCCAAATTTCACAGAATTGATTGGTATATATAAAATTCACATTTAAGGTAAATTTAATAAATTAATGAAAGTTAAAAAATAGAAAATACACATTTTAGCTAAAATTTTGTATTTATTTAAATTCAAGTTTAAATATAAAATAATTGTGTTAGTTGGATTAAAACGAATCGATATAATTGTAAATAATTATAAATTACATATTATTTTTCATTAATATTTAGAAATTTCGGTTAAAATATGAATTGTTGATTTTTTAACTTCCATTAATTCTTTAAATTTAACTCAAATGTATAGGTACTCAAATGTTTATATTATTATATTATTTTTGTATGTATATTTCAATGTTAATGTTTTCTCCACAAGGAAGCAAATTTTTTGCTGATCGTAAAGAGGAAGCACAATGTTTTTATTTTTTTTTATTTTTATATAAAATTAAATATTTTCTATTATCTTATATATAATCGTATTGCATGCAAATATTAATTATTTAAAATCAAAAAACTCACCACGTGGTCTTCATCCTAAAAACGGCGTTGTTTTCCACTTTTAATGAAGAAAAAATACTCACACGCGATTGTAATTATTTCGAACACTCCCGAAAATTACATTAAATACTTATTTTTATTGAACGAACGCGGTTTTAAGATATTTCGAACACTCCCGAAAAAATTAGAATAATTTTTTTTTCTCAAATTGGAAACAATTTTTTTATCGCGATTTAAAATAAATTCAAACACTCCCGAAAAAAAAGAACATTTTTAATTTAGGAAAAATATTTATAAAAAAAACACTCCCGACAAAATTTTTTTGGTTTTAAGAAAAATTAAATACGCACACTCTCAAAACGATAGACAAAATTAAACTGAATTCAAAATGTATTTTCCCATTGTTGATAGACATTTTACTATACCTGCTATTCAAATCGAGTCTATAGTCCCTGATCGAAGGTCAAAACACTAACTTGAGATGGAAATAGAAGACGAACTGCATTATCTGAAAAATAAACAAACAAAACCAATAATAATGTATTTTTACTTTATATATATATATATAATTAAATATAAATAATCTGTTTCTTTTTTTCAAGAAACAGAAAAAAATCTAATATATTAATTTACTTAATGATTTTTTTTAGTTAAAAATTAATTTCACATTTTAATTATATTATTAATTAAAAATTGTTTTTTTTTTAATTTTACAATTTATTTAAATGGCATGTAAATTAATTTACATATAAATTAAATATCAATAAGCGATATAGCAATCAATGAAAAAAATGCATTATTTAATTTCAAAAATAATAATTAATCGTTAATAATTAAATTAAATGTATTGTATGTATTATTAAATTACAACTATGGATTATTGGATAATTGAGTAATCAGAGAATGTTAATTTTCCTAAAATATGAAATATGCCCATATATGTGTATAATTAAATTATATATTATACATAAATAAAATATATATTTAGTTTATATATAGATAGAATAGTAATTAAATTGAAAATTCAGTAGTGCGGCTTGAGAGAATGGATATTGCTCGAGCATATATAATATTATATATATATATATATATATATATATACAGACAACGTCAGACAATATAAATTTTATGGCAATACGAAATTTGCTTCGCAATTTATAATGTCGTTTGGTGAACCAATGTACTTATTATGGACTTATACCTAACATCAAAGAGAACGCAAAGCAGAGGCCATGAGTACCGGTCAAAGGTTTAATTACCTCTTTACACCTCAACTACAGGCTAATTGGATTAAGCCAGTGACCGAGAGTGAGAGGAGAGAAGAGCCTTGGCTAGACAAAATATAGTTTGGATTATTAATTTTACAAGAATTTTCTTTAAATTTTCATTTGCTAAAAAATTTTTTCAATTCTTCGGTTAAACTAATAATTTCTTAATTTTGATCATTGGTAAATTTTCATTCTAAAAGAAGCAACGAAATTTTCAATTTATAACCAACTTAATAACTGGTAACTTTAACTAATTTTTTTTATTAGTAGTAAACTGAAATAATAGAAACTTTGAACTAATGGTAGTTTTAATTAGTAGTAACTTAATTAGTAGTAACTAAATTATTAGTAAGCTGAATTATTCGTAACTTTAATTATTTGTTTCTTTAACTATTGGTTGTTATAATTAATGTTAAAATCAATTGCTGTTAACTTAAATTACCATCAATTAATTGTTGTTTCAAATACTGATAACTTAAGATAATTGAAGCTAAAATTAGTTGAAGTAACCAATAATTAAGGTTAATTCTAATTGAAACTCCAATTTAAAGTAACGAATAACTAAGGTTACTACTGTTTGAAACTACTATTAATTGAAGTTAACGTTACTTAAATTTACCAATAATTAAGGTTATCACTAAGAAAAACTATTATTCATTCTTTTTACTTGAAACTACAATTAGTTGAACTAAAATTAATGAAACTACTAATTGAAGATAAAATTAGTTAAAACTACTTATAAAGTTAACATTAATTAAATTTACCAATAACTAAAGTTACTTTTTAATAATTAAAGTTACCACTTATTGAAATTACAAATTAGAATTATTAGTTTTAGTTACTATTAGCTTAAGTAACTAATATTTAAGGTTACTTCTAATTGAAGCTACAATTAGTTAATGTTATTAATAATTAAGGTTACTGCTAATTAAAGTTACTTATAATTAAGGTTGACATAACTTAAATTAACCAATAATTAATGTTACCACTATTAGAAATTAGTATTAGTTCTTATTAGTTAAAACTACAATTAATTGAAGTCACCAAAAATTTAGGTTACCACTAATTGAAACTACAATTAGTTAAAGTAATAAATAACTAGGGGTACTACAAATTGAAGCTACAATTAGTTAAAGTAATTAATAATTAAGGTTACTGCTAATTAAAGTTACTTATAATTAAAGTTAACGTGACTTAAATTAACCAATAATTAAAGTTTTCACTATTAGAAATTTGTATTAGTTCTTATTAGTTAAAGCTACAATTAATTAAAGTCACCAAAAATTTAGGTTACCACTAATTGAAACTACAATTAGTTAAAGTAAGCAATAACTAAGGATACTACAAATTGAAGCTACAATTAGTTAAAGTAATAAATAACTAGGGGTACTACAAATTGAAGCTACAATTAGTTAAAGTAATAAATAACTAGGGGTACTACAAATTGAAGCTACAATTAGTTAAAGTAAAAAATAACTAAGGGTACTACAAATTGAAGCTACAATTAGTTAAAGTTATTAATAATTAAGGTTACTATTAGTTGAAGCTACAATTAGTTAAACTAATAACTAATAAAAGTTACCAGTAATTGAAGCTAGCATTAGTTGAAGATACTTATAATGAAAGTTAACATTACTTAAAATTAACGAATAATTTTATTAAATTTACTAATAATTGAAGTTACCACTAATTGAAACTACTGTTACTTTGTATTAGTTGACGTTACTATTAGTCGAAGTAATAAAAGTTAACACTAGCTAAATTTTACCAATATTAAAATCAGTTTTAAAAATATTTGTACCTAAAAGATTTTTTTTTTTGCTTTTGAAATATATGTTTTTTTGTTTGGTATAATGACAATTTTAAAAAATAATATTTCTCTACCCATATTTAAAATGTCAACTTTCCCCTTTCCTTTGAAATATAAAAACATACACAAATCATCGACGTTACAATATTAAACAGACGATGATAAATGATTTGACAATAGAAAACTGTCAAAACAAGTTTGAAAGAAAAAGTATTTGTGTTATTATAGAGGGGTATATTACAAAACGCATTGCGTGAAAATGAAGAGGGTGGAACGCGCATTTAGTTTCGATGCCCATTCTGAGATTCACTGTCGGAGGTCGACTTACCATTATATCTATATATATATACATATACAGCATCAGAGTGAGGGTTGATATTCTGCCAAAGCATGAGGTTGCCATGTACCATATAATGGCTTAATATTCCCGATCGTGCCAACAGGCGCCTATACAGACGCGTTGTAATTTCCCTAAAGCGTGCCAGAACTAGACAGATGCCTTATTAATAATCCTCCATCTCCGCATGATATTGGGCAGATATACACATATAGTATCCCACTGTCGACGATGAGAAACTTTTGTAACCGCGAAAAAAAAAGATGGCTCAATAAATTTCATTCACGATCCATTCTCCAGGTTCATGAAGAAAGAAAGAAAGAGAGAGAGAGAGAGAGAGAGAGAGAGAGAGAGAGAGAGAGAGAGAGAGAGAGCCAAAGCTTTCCAATTCTTTATTTATTGTTACAAAAAGGGCATTACAAATTTGTCGCGTGAGAATTCAAGAGAGATGGAAAAAAGCACTCGTCAAAATTGCTAGGAAAATTTATTTAAAAAAAAAAAAGAACCCAGGTGAAAAAATTAACGTTACTAACGTTGCTAACGTTACTTATGTTACTTATGTTACTAACATTACTAATGTTACTAACGTTAATACCTATAAAAAAATTAAGAGTTTCTAAAATATATTTTTACAGAAACTTTGCCACTTCTTTCCCATTACCACTTTCACTTCCACTTAAACTTTTTATAATTTTCATTCCCATTTCCACTTCCACTTTTTCTAATTTTCATTCCCATTCCTATTTCCACTTCCAGTTTTTTATATTCATTGCCACTACCACTTTTTCTAATTCTCATTCACACTTTCACTTCCACTTGTTCCAATTTTCATTCCCATTTCATCTTCCACTTTTTTATTTTCATTACAACTTTTTTATATTTTCACTCCCACTTCCATTCCTAATTTTTTAAATTTTCATTATCACTTTCACTTTTTCTAATTTCCATCTATGGTAATTAAAAAAAGTGGAAATGGTTGCGTAAATGGAAGTTAGAAATAGTTTTAGTCAAAATGGCAACAGCTAATGAAAATTAGAAGTGGAAAAAATGGGAGTAGAAGTGGGAATGGAAATTAGAAAAAGGGAAGTGGGAATAAAAATTAGAAAAAGTGGAAGTGGTAATGAAAATAAAAAAGTGAAAGTGGAAGTGAAAGTGGATATGAGAATTAGAAAGAGTGGAAGTGGGAATGGAAGTGCGAATGAGAATTAGAAAAAGTGAAAGTGGAAACAGTAATGAAAATAAAGAAGTAGAAGTGATGATAGAAATGAAAATTATAAAATTTGCGAGAAAGAACATTAAATACTTCCTGGTGGTCGATTTTCGACAAGTTTCTGCAAAAATACAATTTAGAAACATTTTCTTAATTTTTTTATAGGTACTAACGTTAGTAACGTTAGTAATATTAGTAACGTTAGTAATGTTAGTAACGTTAGTAATGTTAATTTTTCTACCTGGGAAATGAAGGAAAAAATTTAATTTTTAAACTTTCTCCAAACTTAAAATGGAAAAATATAAGATTAAAAATTTTTAGCCAATGATAATTAGAATAAGAATAATTATTATTATCAGTAAAAAATGTTTAGATAATAATAATAATTAGAATAATGATAATTATACACTGAGAGAAAAAATTGGTTGTGCCTACTATTTTTGAGATGACCATTTTTAGTTAGTAATCACAGAAAATTAAAAGGCATTAAAATAAGCTGCAACGCTTATTATTTTAATCCAATTTTGCTTATTTCAATACCAAAATGGATTAAAATAAGCAAAATTGGATTAAAATAATAAGCGTTGCAGCTTATTTTAATGCCTTTTAATTTTCTGTGATAAAATAGCAAAAATACTCTTACTAACGAAATGGTAATTGCAACCAATCGTTTCTCTCAGTGTAGAAAAAATAATAATAATAATAATAAAAGATTAATTAATCTATTGTTAAATTATGTATAAGTAAAGTACTATAAAATTTTTGGAAAAAGAAAAACTGTTTCTATATGTATACATGTCGTGATGGAAAAATAATGTTTGCGGGGAAAAGATATGATGCGATGCATTAAGAAAAATAAGTTCCCTAAAGTGTTTGGGAGAAG